CGGGAAAACGGTGGGGCCGGAGCCGCCCCCCTGCCCTGTGGGCAGTGGGTGAGACCCCCGGGGGGGACCCCGGCCCCTCGGGGAAGCGGTTGCGTCTCGGCTGGTGGGAGCTGGAGCGCCGTGGGCTGCGGGTGGTCTGCAGTGGCCGCGGCCGCGCAGCGATGTCACCCGAGCATCACCGCAACGCGCTCGCGGAGGAGAAGGGAGCAGCGAGCCCGGCTAGAAATCGGAAGCGATTCTGGTACTTTGAGCGAGTTGCTGTGGAAACTGTGCAGAATTTGGCTCCGAGGGCCAGACAGCGAAACCTTTCACTCGCTGCAAGTTGTGACGAGCGACTCATTTCGGTAGCGAGTCAATGATAACTCGCGGGCCCTGGGGCGGGTGGTGTCTCCCCAGTGGCATTTGTCACTCGAGGGCCTGACCCAGTGGTTTTCACCATCCATCCTGCCCTCGGGCCTTGGGCAGGGTGCTGCGGAGGCAGGAACTCGTCTGCCACCGGCCACCCGGGTTATTTTCAGGCAATCGGCTCCCCGCTGGGACGTGGGGCTGCTGCCCACATCTTCTGGGCTCCTCTGTCTAGCTGGAGATGCGGGTGCCTCCCTGCACCACCAGCCTTTGGCAGGTCCCCGTCGATCCCGGGGCCGTCCCGCTCCGGGGCCCCCGGAGCCGGGGCTAACGCTGAGCTCCTCTTTGCAGGTTTGCGGTGCACGCAGCTTGCCGAGTCCTGCCTCAACGGCGGCAAGTGCGAAACTTTCCTCAACGGGACGGAGGTGTGCCAGTAAGTATGGAAGAGCCGGAGGATTTTCATCTCCCTAGCCCGAAGTATTGACGTGCGTGTTGACTTTGCTTTGAAGGCTCTGGATTTAATAGGGCGAGATGCATTTGCTTTCCTTGAGTGGCAAGAATAACCTGCTTGTGTAGGAGTCGCCGCGAGTTGGGCAGGATCGGGCTTTGTTCCTAGCTGGGTGGAAAAACATGGGCAAAGGGCCATGTTTGGCTGGCGTTACCTCTCCGGGCTGCCCTGCGAGGATCACGGAGCAGGAGCGAGGTGGCAACTTGCGGCACTCGCGGGGCAAGTGGGAGGGGGGTCTGAATCCTGCTTTCTTCAGGCCCAGCTCCCTCCTATCCCAAAACGTTGCCTTTTGGTCCTTCGCACCCAGCAATTAGCAGCTCTGCTTTGGGGACATCCCCAAACACGTCTGAGGGGTCGTTTCTGGTGTGGCCACCTTCTCCCCGCAGCTCCCTGGAGCTGGTGCCAAGCGGAGCATCCAGGACTCCAGGCTCCAGGACCTGGCACTCGTGCAAGCGCTTTCTGCAAGCGGACTGGGGGGGAAACGGATGTAAAATGTAAAATGTTGGGACTCTTTGAAGGACCAAGCGACCCACCGCAGCGACGGTCGATTCACTCCAGGCTCCCAGGGAACAATAACCCAGAGAAATGAATAAGACTCCAGCTCCCTTTTTAAAACTATTCCATAAAAGAAATCTGAATGGGCAAGGCTCTGTTTTCCGGCCAGATTTCCCCTCCGCCTGCTAAACGTGCCCTAAGCCGAGAGCAGGCAGGGAGATGTTCCCACCCACCCCACATTTCCCAATAGGAAGTTCTTCTCTGTGCAGAAACCTGAAGGCATTTCCAATCCCAACCTGTTGAATGGCAGTTTTCCTTGACAATGTGTGTTGCTCTTTGCAAATCTGCCCGGGCGCCGTTACTCGCTGGGCACCTCCCACCCCCGTCCTCCAAGCTGAGCCCCCCAACCCTTTGGTGAAAATAAATCAGCAAATCAATCAGGCACATGAGCAATTTAATGGACAAAGGCTGGGTCCCTTTGTGAGCTACTAATGAATGCACGCCACTTTTTTTTGCACAGAAGCCCTTACCAACGCTTGACGCTCTAAATCTTGTTTTCTTTCATTCAGAGAGCGACAGCTGGGATTCGGTCGAAATTCGGCAGCTATTGTTAAGGGAGGCAGATTAATGCTGTGTGACTAATCATGTATGGCTTCCCAGAATGCCCAACCCTCCATCCCCCTCCCCAACCTTGCACCCCTCCTTCTCCTTGTGGTCATTCTTTCCCTTTTTTTCTTAAGTCTCTGCAACTCCTGATTTACATTTCATGTGCAGATGGTGATGGAATCTAATTAGACCTGATGTGTGAGAGCTCTGTGCAGAGGCAACGCTCCCGAAGTAGGGTTGTGGGTTGCTTTTTTTTAAAAAAAAAAGAAGAAAAAAGTTAACTTTGAAGAACTTCACTGGTAGCTGTAAATAAGTGACTCCTACAGCTGCAGGCAGCGTGATGGCTTTGCAAGTACGTGTGAGTCATTTTTGCAGGAAGCTAAGGTGCATGTTCACATTATGCTGAAACAGCCGTCCCATACGGCGTGTGTATAATGAGCAACCAAAGCAGATACTAGAGGTACTGACGGGCTAGGTGAGATGCAACTCCTCGAGGTATCTGATAGCAAAATCCTGTGGTTTTTTTCACTTGTTTGAATATCTCTTTACGAGGAGTTTTGCTTCCAAGGCTCCTAAACAAAGCAGAGCCAAGAACACAGATACCAGACACAGAAAAGCTGGCACTGCCCTTTGGCGCCTGCGTGAAATGCACCATTTTGGCTGCTGGCCACATCTCCCTTCGGCCTGGCACTTAACAAAGTTTGGCCATAAAGCTCCATTGTGCTTCCCCACAAATCCAATTAGAAAGTGGAGTGAAATAAATAGCGTAGGAAGGAGAAGCTGCTCCGGTGGACGAGCGTCCTGGCGGTTGTCGCAGGAGAGAGCTGGTCCGGTTACTCAAAGCCGACTCTGATAACTCCGTTTTGGAGTTATCGGCCCTGTTGCGGAAAGGAAACCACCAGGGTGAAGTGAGGAGCTTTCTCGGCCTTTATTATTTTACAGTGATAGTTTGCAGCCCTGCGGGTTCCTTATCTTGCTTGTCCCCTTGCCAGGCAAGCCGGGACACATCGAGCTTTGATTGAATGAAGGGCACTGGGCATTGGATGGGCTAGAGGGCTTGCAAACGGAGGCAACTAATTACACAGCCTTTGGAGCAGCTTTCCATCGTGGCAGGAATAGTGGGATTGCTGGGCACCCTTGCGGGCACCGTGGGGCATCTCCATCCCACGCATGGCACTTGTGCCAGACCTGGAGCCCTAAAAAGTGCCCTGGCCGGGTGGCTTGGGCAGCAGATGGTGGCCAACGGCCACAGCACTTGGGTTTCACGGGGCTGCTGAGCTGTGGCTTTCCCAAAAAGGCTCCTCTTTGACTGAGACATTTTTTTCCCAGACAGAATGAGGTTTTTCCAAAAGCTCCTCTGGGCTTGTAGCGATAGCTCCTAATTAGACTTCGGGATAACTGTGATTTTTGACTGGCATCGCTGCAAATGAGCAGGGCTGATTTTAGATTGTGGCGCCACGTGACTCGTATTCCCAGGACCTCCCTTGTTCCACTAGTTGGAAGCAGATGGCATGAAAGAGGGCTGAGTTTGGAGCCCCGCTCCACCAGCGCCTCGCTATTAAAGTCAGAAGGGCTGTGGCTGTGTTGTCGTCATCTCGCCCAGAGAGGCCAAGTAGGCTGCAAAGGAAAGGAATAAGTTAAATTACTCACTAGGTGCACTCTGAAAAGGGGGAAAAGTCAGTTTGCTAAAGTACTTCCTCTGTTTATGAATCAGAGTCGCGCCGCGGCGCGGGCGGGATGGAGCCCCTGAGCTAATGAACATCATCCCTGCCAGCTGCCATGGGCAAAGGGTGACCTGGGACATGGAAGGAGGGACCAGAGCCGCAAGCAAAGACTATTTTAGCTTAAAGCTGTTTCTGGAGACAACCAGGAAGCCGGAGGAGCGATCTGAATTTTGCAGCTCGCTCTGCCCCCCGAGTTATTCAACTGCTCAGTCATTGTTATCTCACGGCAAAGGGCGGAAGTTTCCTTTTGGTCTGATTTTTTTTTTTTCTCATGTGCTTTAACCCAGCGTTATTTCCATGAAATAATAACAAAGAAAAAATGCAGTCTCGGTGCTGGAGAGGAAGAGGGTGGAGTGTTGAACAATCGAGTGGAGGAAGCTCTTAAAGCACCCGCCGATGGTGATTCAGCCATGTTGAGAACCCTTGGTGGTTGTTTCATGTCTGATCTCATTCTCGGAAAGAACACGGTGGAAATGGGCAAGAGGGGGGTGATTAGAAATACAGAAGCGTCACCTGTTGCAGAATCCAGTGGAGGAGAAACTCTGCTGAGAACTTGGGCTGGTGGAGCCACTGGGACAGCAATGGGATTTCTAACTTGTTTCTAGAAGGATCTCTAAGTCCCTCCTCTCTCCAAGGTGTCTTCCTGGTTACCCGTTGCCTTAAGTGGTCCTGCTTACCTCTACTGACTCCCCTTTGGGTTGTATTGGTTGGTCTGAGGGTTTTGGTCTTCCCCCAGTTGTTTGGATGGCTGTGATGGAGCTCCCCAGCCAGCTCTGTTGGGCTTGATGTCACCACTGGTTCTGCTCAAGAGAAGATACCTTGGCAGGACCCTCGGGGGTGCTTGTGGCATTGAAATGAGCAGAAAAGGAAGGGACTGGCTCTGTAGCTCCCTGGGATGCAGAGAGGATGAGCTATTTGTGCAGGTTGTAATCACCTGAGGACCTGCAGAACTTCTGCAGAGTAGAGCACTGGCGTTGGCACGTGGCCTATGCTTTTATTTCACTTCACTCCCTCCCCTCTTACACCACCCTGGTTGCAAAGGGCTCTATTTCCACCCGTTCAAGCCTCGGGTAGGTCTGTTCATTCCAGCTGATGCTGCACATGCCGCTCCCCGCTCGGAGGCCGTTCCGGTTTATGGCGTGTTGCACGAGGGAAACACGGATAAGTCATCCCGCGACCAAGCCGCCCGCCAATTAAGGGGCTGGATAACATCATCAGCAGGCAGTTAGCAAGTTTTAAAATAACATTGCTTGGAAATTAACTTGCTCTTTCCGAGCCCGGAGGTGTGGTGACCCTCGTTCTGCTCGTGTTGGAGGTGTCCCCGTCGGTAACAGCCTGCGTTCGTGGGTGGAATGTGCAGTTTATGGGGCAGAAGTGTGTTTAACTAGGGAGTAGCCGCAGGGCGCAGGGAGCCCGAGCCGGCGCGCTCTGGATCTGGACGGAGCGTTCTCCACGGCTAAGGAACCACCACGTCCAGGGGATGACTTTGGACCAGGTATTGGGATGTCCAGAGTCTGCAGGAGGGCTCCATCCCATGGGCATCGCTCCCATAGGGATGGGCGGCAGCGCAGGAGGGAGACGTTTAGGCACTTTCCTCACTCACCCCCATACAGAGGGTCCAAAAACCAGCCCCATGTCCCCAAAACAGACCCTTGGGAGCATCATCCTGGGGACACGGGCACTGGGCTGCATTTCCCTGGCGCAGTGATCACTGCCTGGTTTTGGCATCCCCTGGCACGTCCTCGCCTTCCCCCACAGCAGCCTGGAGTTAATATTGGAAAAGCCAGTTAAACGGTTAATGTTTAGGCCTTGGTTATTTAGGTTCTTGCACGTTTCCAGCAAAGAGAGCCGAGTTGCATTTTAATGGGAAACTTTCACGCTCGGTCAAGTTGCAAAAATTTATTTGTGCGTAAATCATTTTCCTTTAACAAGTTTTCACCCTAATTCCCTTCCGAAAAAAAAAACCCTGTATTGAATGGTATTTATAGGGAAACGGATTTATTAAGTTTTAATGATGCTATAACATTGCCCTTACTTAATAGATGGGGCAGGCTGCAGGCAAGCGGCCGTGCGGTGGGCTGGGAGGGCTCTGCAGAGAGG